GGAGCAAGGGCCTTCCTTAGGGCCTTACAAAATTTCTCCTCATCTAGGTGCTTCCACGGGCGCCTAGGTTTAGGCTCTGTTATCCGGGTCCTCGTGTCTAACGTAATGCTGATTAGTAGGTGGTCAGAATCGTGATTAGCATCTTCGTCCACCCTGCAGTAGATTATGCAGTTGACTAGGCTCAGCGTCATCCAGCAGAGGTCTATGGTTGTTTAGCCTAGGCCGTTGTCGAGCGTGATTATACCTGGTTTCAGCACACTTATCATATTATGTTCACCCATAATCTCGATGAGTTCTTCTGACTATGCCTCTTCCCTTATGATATCTAGGCCCCCCCACAGTTGGTGGTGTAGGTTGAAGTTGCCGAGCGCTATTTATTCTCTTATAGCATATTTTACTAGCTGGGCTTGTAAGATCGGTAGCGTAGCAGACTATTCTTCGCCCTGGCCTGGGTTATATATATTATATAGTATCAGTTCATTTTCTGCTTCCCCTCTACCTATAATGATCCGTAGTGTATATAGATCCTATATATATTATTTGACTCGCCAACAGGCCTGGTCTAGCCGCTTGTTGATGAAGAAGCACACCCTCGCTAGGCGCTCCTTCATGCTGCCTGTCGGGTAGCAGAGATGAAAGGTATTCTTTACTTAGTAGTGCGTCGTGTCCTGGAATGGGTTACGCCAGGGTTCCTGGATAGCTAGTATGTCATAGGTTGCTATCTTTGGGTCTCGAAGCAGTATCACTATGACCTGATCCTTTAACTTATGGACGTTATACTGCAGTATTTTTAGTTGGCTTTGTTCTATCATTGATCGCTGTCGCTGTCGAGGTCTATATATAGTGTGTCGCGGCGTGTTACAAGGTTCAGGTCCGTCGCTTCCTGCGCCTTCTAGCTAGGGTTAGGGTTAGACCTTGACGGTCGCTGGCTAGGCTCCTCGTTCTCTTTTCCGTCTGGGGCCATCCTCTTTCGGCCTCTGGTGGGCGCCTGGTTGGCCCTGGGGTCTCGCGCAGACCTTATCCTCTGTAGCAGGGGGCCCTCTACTATTGTCAGCTTGGCTGGTTTCGCTACTAGCGCGACTGCATAGTATTATAGCCTACTAGTATAGGTAATCCTTATCTTAGCTATTTCTTCCTTTCGGACTGGGCATTGGCGGTTCCACGCCTCATATGTGCCTTAGCATGTCCCGCACTTCCTTGAAGCGGTCCGGTCTCCTTTAGATAGGCAGTCCCTAGAGTCATGCTCCAGCGTGCAGTAGCCGCATACTTTTACTGCTTTGCATTAGGTTCCTATATAGCTATATGCCTGGCACTTAAAGCATTGCTTTAGGTGGCAGTGCCTCTCATAGCACTTGCTCTAGTATATCTCCCCCTGCTATACTAGGCCCTCATCGATGATCTTGTTGGCGTCCTCTGGCCTTATAAACTCTATAATGATCGACAATATTGTCTTATCTGGAGTCTTACGGGTGAGCCACCCGACGTACTTGATCTCTGCCTCTGGTATGAAGGGCCTATTATCCTGAAGAATTGCGCCCTTTATTTCGTCTGGCTTCTCCATGTTTATTATGCTAACATATATACCATATACTAAGATATTATAGGTCGGCTTCCGTACTGAAGCCCCGCTGCCGATACGCGGGACCCAGTCCTCTATAAACTTCCTAAGGAGCTGCGTCTTGTGGCCTGTCGTTGTCCTGATACTCAGATCCCCACTCTTTAATTGGTTGGTTGATATTATAATAATACTGGTGATATGCTCATTCTCGCTCTGGGCGATTACGCGGTCAACATATGCTCTCAAGGTTTGTGGGTTTATTGCTCGTAGGCGCTCAATAGTGTGGCTATCTCTGATATTTACTATAATTTCCCGCTGCGTTGGTGCTATAGGGGGTGCCTGCTGTTCCTGCGCCTGCGTGCTGTGGATGCTAGAGACTCATAGGTCCTCCTGTTTGGGGCTGTATTCCTTTCTGCTTGATTTCCCGTGCGATGTCTGCAGTGGCCTTGCTCATCTTTGTCGCCTCTTGGGCTGCTGCTTTAGTCTCCTTGCCGGTGTCTACCAGTTTATGGGCCTCAGCGGTAAGGCTATGGATCTCTTCCTTTATTATTGCCAGCTCCTTAGTGGTGTCTTCGGCCCCTGCTCAGAGCTGTACCTGGATTGCATTGACTGCCTCATGTATATGCGTTAGGTCTGGGGATGTTTATACCTTTGCTACAAAGGTGAGGACTGCGAAGATCATTGATTTTACAGGGTCTAGTTCAACTATATAGCTGGATATGCTATGCGTATATTGCGCTGCCGCCTGAAGATGCTTCACTAGTTAGGTAGCATGCTCTGGTAGCCTGTTTAACCAGGTCTCCCCCTTAGGCCAGGGAAGTGACATGTCTGTTGTTTACGCGCTGGGCTACGCGTCGAACTTGTCAATTTCCCCCCTACGGTATAGAAGAGTACATAGGTGCAATTAAATTCCTTGGTTTCCAAGAATTCGCGTTCTCGCTGTTGTGGTGTTTTTCCGTCTCTCACGTGATATTGGCACGTGCATAGACTGACACTCAGTGTGTTGCAGGAATATCACATGATCTCCCACATGAAAGACTCTTTTCTGTAAAGACAAACCAAAAAATATATAACAACATACAAAATTACTATGAGAACACGTTTTCACAAGAATACGTCTATTTATATTACATTTTCACTTCCTTTTGCTTCCCTGAGCGCTGCACACCAGCAATCTCCAGCACTGCCTAGCTTAGGCTAGCCCCTCAGTGCGACACAGTGCGACAATTAGTCAGGTGCACGTGACCTGTGACAGTAACTTATCTAGCGCTCATCTTGGCTCAGAAAAATATAACATCAATCTTCTTCACCTCAATCAATTTAAGCATTTTCTACTGTCTATCGTTGTAGGCTGAGCTATTCAGCAACTTCCAAAAAGCATAGCACTCAATGCAGCGCTAGTGCAACAAAGGTCCCACCTTCAGGCAAATATTCTTGCATCACGAAGTCAAGTCAACGGGCCATGAGATATGCCGCGAAGTACTGAATTCATCATATCTGCCGGCTCTGGCATCCGATTACTGGAGCACCAAGATCTAGAGATTGGGGCAGTGGACAAAGACCTGAGCCCAGCCGATCACAACCAGGTCGATAAAAACCAGAAGAGCCAGGGTGTAGATGACGACCGGAATGGAGATAAAGACAGCAGAGATAGTCGAAGTCAAAGCACAGATGACCAGAATGAACATGGTCAGATCAAATACTACAGCCAGACGGAGAGTGTAGACAATAACAAGCAATTTATTAGTCTACCAGTTGGAATGAATGGAGTGGCGCCGACACCCTGTGGATTTTGTAAAAATATACGTGAAAAGATTAACACATACTTTGAAAGTCGCAAAGATAGACTTCGAAAATATCAGTCTGTAAACCTAACCCCTGGAGAATTCTTTGGGAACACCACATTTGCCTCCAGTTTGCAGTGGTCATTTAAAGCACTGGCTGACGACGCTGCGAATCTCCTTAATCGCGAACGGGCCCCATTTCACAAGATCAATCTTACATCCCATCTACAAGAACTTTTGGCGAAGTCGAAAATTTCAGAATGCAATTTTCGGAAGTCGATGCTGCAAGAATTATATCCAGGATTCAAGGACATGACACGCAAGGAAAGAAATCCACTCTATCGAAAATTTGAGAGATCCGTTGAACAAGGGAAAGCCCTCTTCTTGATCTCATCGCAAAATCCCGGGATTTTACTGACGATTGCAGGATGTTTATCAAGAGAAGAGTACCTCTACCCTCGATATTTATTAACCAAGGCTAACATTCCATAGGCTACGACATCTATCAAAAGATTGGAAAACTTGTGCCTACCAGTTTCCCTGGTTGAGTTCAGAAATACTCCAATTTTCCAAACAGTATGAGGGAGTGGTACGGAATATCCTTGTATATATGCAGTGTGCGTTTATACCTGGAGGCTCTAAGGGAAGGGCATCTGCAAACCGTGGAGAATGTGGTCATAAAAGACTACGATTGGATTTTCCTCAAGTTCCCAACGAACCGACGACTACGACACTCCCGGAGTGGTTACCTTCCAATGTCTGCGAAGCAGCTGAAAGCGATAGCATCAATTCAACGCCACCAATGATGCAGACCCAACGAGCTCCAGCTTTATCTATTGTACCACTCGCCATCAATGATCTTAATTGTAATGGAGGCCAAAGATTCATCATGGAATACTCCGGACCAACTCCTTCCCTGGCTCTGTCGACCACTGAGTATCTGTTCCATATAATCAAAATATATGTCGGAAATACTTGCCGGAACATGAAATTCAATGACCATGGAACCCTCCTCAATTCAAATGGGTCCGAATTACGGAATGATCTATGTGATAACTTCGACTCTTACTGCTTTACTGCTACCATACTGGCGAGCAGAGCATTGTACGTCGGGTTTCGCGCCACACTTTCCAAGGCCTTTGCCCTTGTCGAGGAAATTCTTCAAGCCGAGCATCCTCGAACCCTAACCTGCTTTCTTGAAGTGCTGATCCACCTCATACAAACCGGGCACTACGATGTGAGCTTAATGCTCCGTGACTATATCAAAAATATGTCCGCAAAAGTCACTAGAAAGGGGAGCCATTGGGGCGAAATATGTCGACTTCTGGGGAAATTAGACTCAGATTCCGTTGACCAGGCTATGGCAAAGGTTTGGGAATGCACTGTTGACAGTTTCGATAGCAATCTCGAACCACTAAGTCGACTCGCTGTATCTATTCGCCTTGATTACATAAAACGCGTGTACGGGGCCACAAATTGTGCTGTAGAAGAACAGCTTCTTCGAAGTCTCCTTGCGAAATTCAAAGGCTCTCCTAAAGTCCCGACTCCACGGGTGATGCTCAACCTGGCGCATAATCTGAACAGACAGGGGCGCTATGTCGAATCGGAGAAGATGGCGCTGGATGTCCTGTCGCTGCTGAAGGGACATGAAATATATACTAAAAGAAATGTCGAGAGAATAGAATGTATGAAAATTATTTCTCACAGTCAATTTTATCAAGGGAAGATCCTGGATGCAGAGAATACTATGCGACTTGCGATATGCATGGTTGAATATTATTTGGGGGAACAACACTCTTGGGTCCTTGAATTCAAGAATGTTCTGGAGGGTTGGCTTCGACAGGCAGGCCGTCGGGAGGAGGCCAATATACTACGGAGAGAGTTACAAGAGTTGACGGGAGAAGATGAAATTGACAAGCGGCTTGACAGAGTATGAGGTCGGCTTTGGTAGAACAACATCAGAGAGACCCGGAACCTAAACAACTAAGTTTAAGGCAGTCTCCATATACTACTTTTTCCCATGAGATATCAACTTCAACTGCCTACATACCAACTGCCTTCATTTTCTTCTCTTGGAGTATCAATCACCACTCCATTTTCCACAAGCACCAGCTCATCAACTCTATTAATAGCATATTCAACTCGCTTCCAGGTCTTCAGGCTCCCGGCCGTGGCATCGAGTTCAAAAACCCGTACTCGTCGGTGATAACGTTCAATGCCGTACTCACAGTATCCCCCGAATCCACTGCAACCTCCATAGCATAGCCAAGGGCCAAGCTGAGGGATTCTGTCACTTTCACCTTGCATCTGAGGTGGTAGGAGAGCACAAAAGTCATTCACATGGTCATGCCCACAGCCTACTGCTAATATACCTGCTTCAACTAAAGCGTCGTAGAAATGGGAATTGAAGCTTGGGCTTTCAGTGGGCTCCCTCCGGTGGCCGTTGCGTATACGAAGACGGCGGTCTCCGAACTCAGGAAGAGGGATGTGTAGGAAAACCAAAGGCAAATAGAAGCGACTCTTATCATTGCCTTTCTCATGTGCGCTTCGTTGCGCTTTGGAAACGCTCAGGAACCAGTTAATTTGACTTTGCTTGATTGGATCATAGTCGGGATTATGTAAAGAGCTCGCTATTTGTCCGTGCGAGTCTAGGAAATATAAAGTTGATAACAGGAGATTTGATGGGGCGGGAGCCAGAATCTGAAGGTAGAAGTTGCCTATGCCGTCGATTTGTTCTGGACCTGACTCGCAGAGACTAAAGGGCAGATCCTGAAGTATTGACATCTGTGCCCTGCCTGGAATCCAGTCAGCTGACTATCAAAGACCCAACTCATAGGATTGTGTTCCTATCTTGCGGAGCAGAGCAGCCTACAAAGTTTTTGAGAGTGGAATAGTCCCAAGTATGTTGTCGACTGCTAGCTCCGTGTATTGGCAACCTGCGAAAGAAGTGACATACGGGTTAATGCATGGATGCCCTCACTATCATGGTTGCCAAAAACAGCTGCGAATGGAATTGAACGCTCGATAAGAGGGGCAACCACCTTGAATAGAGCGGATTGGCTGTCGGGGATATCATGGTGCAATTGATCTCCAGCAAGAATCACAAGGTTCGGTTTCTCGATATCCAAGATATTTCCAATAAACTTTACCGTAAGTGGGTCAGCCTCGGTCTTTGGTAGAGGATTCCCATCGGCATCAATTGCATCGTTACAAACCCCGACACCAGTGACCATGTGTGTGTCAGATATCTGAACAATCTTAAATCTACCATCCTCCCTGACTCTCAAAGCCTCCCGAGCATCTGGTCTCGGCATGACCCTACCACGGCGAACGCTAAGTCTTGCAACCGGTACCTCTGCCCGAGCCTGAAGTTTGAGCGGCAATTCCATCAGAGTCCATTGTGGTCGTGGATCAACAGCGTCCACACCAAAGAGAACGTCTACACCTGTTACAGCATCGTCGATATTTCCAGAGAACTTCTCTCGCAGCACCCAGATTCCACCAGGTCGGCTCTCCCATTGATGATCTGAGCTTGAATTGGGCGGCTTCCGGCCAACCTTAATGTCAACAACCAGCAGGTCCCCAGCCACAAGCTTTGTCTCGTTCACTAGCGCTACATACAACCATGCACTCTGGCAAGAGGTATATAAATAGAGATCTTTCTCGACTCGGTGCCATACGTGCGGGTCTAGTTCACTGGTGGAGAGAGGATGTATAGGAGAGAAGAGGCGTACGGTGAGATCTGTGATAACTTGATGAGCAATAACGGCCGTCGTGTGAGAAGTAGACGACGATGCCATCTTGGAGAAGGAGCGCCCGAAAAATTGAAGAGTACGAGACACTACAGCTGTTGCTGATACAAGCGTTCACGCAAAATTTGACGCTGGCAGAGTTGCAGCGGTAATTTGACTAGCGTCTTTGCAGCCTCAGGCAATTAGGCCATACATAAAGCTTGACACGGACTGAATACCCAGAACGAGTAGGTTGGTACTTGTAGAGGTAAATCGTCCTAGCTTAGCGGCGATTAAGTTTAAGCCTCTTTTGGCCTCACTCTGTTGCAGGAATGTCACATGATCTCCCGCATAAAAGACTCTTTTCTGTAAAGACAAAACCAAAAATATACAACAACATACAAAATCACTATGAGAACACATTTTCACAAGAATACGTCCATATATATTACATTTTCACTTCCTTTTGCTTCCCTGAGCGCTGCACACCAGCAATCTCCAGCACTGCCTAGCTTAGGCTAGCCCCTCAGTGCAACACACTC